TCCGCATCATCGCCCCTTTAATATCATTCCCAGTAATTTAATTCGCGAAAGAAATCCCCAACCGCCTCTGTCTCTCTCCTTTATTCCCCTCTCGATGAAAGTTCGTTCTCACCAAATGAACGGAATCAAATTCGATTCGTGTAAACTGCACTCGTTCCCTCTCTTAGAGTTTGGAAAGACGTTCACGGTCGTGGAAAAAAATATCGAGAGAAATTGAAAGATCCAATTTTTCTAATTTGGAAAAATTTTCACCTCCCCCTTGATCAAGGGTTAATCTTACTTCTCTCTCTCTCTCTTTTTTACTTTTTTTTCGAAAAACTCGCGGATGGAAATAGCGCGACACAAAGAAACCCAATTGCAACCCCTTTTCCCCCTCCATTCCAGGGGCTATATATCCCGATCACGTATCCTCCTCTTGCCTTTCGATTTTCCGGCTTCCTGTGTGCACCCACGAATACACGAAGCAGTTCGAGTGCCGGTCGGAAAGGGTTTGAAGGTCGATGAACCGAAACTATTTACCTGGACGGACTTGGCTCGTACAAATAACGGGTCTGGGATCCAGTCGTGCATCCACCGCGTGTATATTCATCGAGCGATGGCTGTCGATCGTCGAAAGGCACGAACTTTATGAAATGAAATTTTTTTCTCTTTCCACTCTCTCTCTCTTCTTGTTTGGAGAGAGAGAGAGAGAGAGAGAGCATCGAGTCGAGGCTTGTCGGTGGTGAATTGTTAATGCGCCCCTTAATGTACGCCAAATATGATTGGCGGCGTTTAAAAATGAAAACGAAGACGTGATCGATCGACGTCGGTGACCTAATAATCGAAAACGGACTTGACTGAGGCGGGGGTTTCACGGGCAACATCCCGGATTGTTTCCCGCCAACCGGCCGGAAAACTCGAGCAATCAGAGGAATTGAAATGTTTATTCTTTTTCCCCGTCGAAATCACGTGTTCATTTAACAGCGTTGAATGAAAATTATCAACAATTATTAGCAATTGTTTAATTAACTAACTTCCAACTTTCGTTGGAGAGAAGTATTATTTCTTAAGTTTTATTCTCAACATATTCAACGATTAAAATTAATTTTTGACCGCTAATCACATCCACCACCAGAAATCCAATCGTCGTATTCATCGCACTTTCCGAATCAGGCTCCTGGCTCCCCATTAAAATTACAAATCGCCCCTCCCTCCTTACACCTGTTTCGAGCGTGTCACCAACGCTTTAGGCCTCCGTTTAAACGTTGAATCGATACTAATCCCTCGCCCATCCATCCACAACGTGCATTATCGTCGTGCGAGGCGAGGAACGGTCGCCAAAGATGGGAATTTAATTTTCGTCAAAGGGCGGCCGCTTGTGGCTCGCTGGGGGAGGAGGGTAGTGTGAAAGGGTAGGGCCGTGGGTGTGGCAAAGGGTGAGGCACGAGGGTGGATTCAAAAAGAATGAAATAACGGATTGGGTTGCGGCCAACTGGCCAGCTTCCAACCAATCCTTAGCCGGGCTGTGGATGCGGGAGTGTATTACGTATATACTCCCCCTCGCCTTATATCCGTGGAATCGTACCGATGCATCCCCCCATTCAAAATCATATTTCCCTGTGCGCGCACACAAAGAGAGGGAAGGAGATAGGGGGTAGAAACAATGATCGAGAAGAGAACTCTGTCGGTGGCTCCTAGGTGGAGCAGTTTCGCCGTGTGTTCATCAACGGTACTCGAGCGGGTCATCTCGCCACCACCACCCCTTCCTTGGCGAATTTTCCGTGCGAATTCCTCGCAATTACGCGGATAAATAGAGGCGAGAGAATGCTGGTGTGATTTTTTTTTGGAAGGGGGGAGGAAAGGAGGAAGGAATCCTCTTTTGGGGAGAGTTGGATCGATCGAATGCAAGATTTTATTTCGAACGAACTCTTGACGGTTAGGCGGGGGTTGTTTGTTTATGCATATTCGTGAATGTATTCGTAAGTTGTGTCGACTTTCGATTCTGAAAGATTTGATTCACGATGAGACACTTTGTGATCTGTTTGTTGCGAAACGTTAAGGCGCACGAAAGGAAAGTTCGATTTGAAAATATATAACGGTTTCCTTCGGAGGGAATATTATGAATTAACGTAATTAATTGAAACGAATTTATCGGAGGAGGACAATTTATGGGGAATCCGTTCGTTTGTGAAGATTTAAATTCCCTTTGGAGAAGAATTAATTAGCCGACAGAGATAGTTTCGCGCAGCACAAAGACGCGACTTTTCCAAATCAATTCGGACGAAATTCGCGAGATCGGATGAGTTGGGATGCAGAAAGATAGCGAGTCGAGCAATCTATCTTTCCTCTGACTTTCCAATAATTCCCGATTTGTTGCCTCCACTGTGGTTAAATGAAGCAGGCTGAAAGGGCGAAGGAGATCAAACCTGTAAGTTAGATGGTTCTCGGTTCAATGCTCACCGTTCCCTCTAATGATCGCTTTGGTTTGAAGTTTTGAATTACCCTCGACTGAAGTGGGGGGGAAGAGAATTTGCCAATATTCGACACACACACACGATTCCCCCTGTTAATCCGAATGTTACAAAACTGCATACCTCTGGCTTTGCCCCGTTTACTTTCATCCAATTCGTCAGTTATACGCTTTCAGACGTAGATATTCTTCCGTTTAAAATACAATGCGTTGTTAATTCAATTAAATTTTGGTAATGTATTTTTTGTAATTTTACCCTCCAAACGAGGGATCTCTTTTCTTATTGTGGAAAAAATTGTTTCTAAGTCAATTGTCTGTTATGTCTGAATAAATATAGATGTATCGCTTGGTAAGAACAAAATAAATTAACAAAGAGAAACATAGAAAATATAGCAGAAGAAAGTATGTTTTTGTGTTTATCTAATTGATTAAATCAATGATGGAACAAATGAGAAGCTTAGTGATACGTAACGTTTTTTCGATCCTCCGATCATTTTCGTGTATTATATGTAATGAGAAACAATTAGTTTAATTTTATATTGATATTAGTTTATGAGTCAAGTAGTATAGATCAACAATATGCCTATATTC